TCCTCTTTTTTCTTCTTTTTTAATGCCTTTACTTTGTTATCAATTCATATGATTGTTTTGAACTATGGCATTTGAAAATTTCCCTGAAAATCTGTATGTCTCATAATGATGAGGGCTCCCCTCCTTTATCTTTTTTCTTTTTAAGAAAAAGTGTTCCAAAAGGGGAAGAAAAAGAAAATGTGGGAAGATATTCCAGTCTTTTTTCTACTTAGTAAATTATATTAAGATCCATTTATGAAACATTTGTTTAAAGGAATCAGTTAAAGTTGCTTCAGTGTCATTACTTCATTATTCCTATTCATTACATTGACATTAATGGAAGTCAATTTTACTTCTTGCCTGCGAGAGGCTTTTAAAAAATTACAGCCGACTGTCCATAGTTCTTCTCAAATTATTACCTTTATTAGGTAAAGTAGTCATTTAGCAGTTGCTCATGTTTCAGTCTATTAAATTTTTACTTTTTAATTACCAAAAAATTGAAGCATACACAAGAGAAGAGGCCATAGTATAAAGAACTTCCACAGGGTCATCCCCTAGTTGAAACCATCATGAGCTCATAAACTTCATTTACACTGCCTCCTACTTCTCCTTTTCAGGGTTATTTTGAAGTAAGTACCACAGTTTTCATCTGTAAATGTTTTAGCCTCATTGCTTGACTCAGGATCAAAATAAGGGCTTGAAGGGGGGCTATGCATTTGGACTGTTTTTAAAGCCATATTACTACTTTCTGTCTGTTTCCAGAGCGTTTCAGGTTATTAATATTTTATTATACAATAATTTTCTATGGCCTTCTATATGTTGGTGCTGAAATGGCATTTCAATTGGTGTTAAAATTTTTAAGATCTAATCTACAAAACAATAGTTTGAAAAAAATTACTTTATTAATATATCAAACTCCCCACACACACACACACGATGATGAAATAATGAAGTAAATAAAGCAAATAGCTGTTAACCGGCAGTACCAAAAGCACCACAAATTCTGAAGAGAGATTGTGTCTTGTCACACAGATTTATCACACATATAGGAATATACTGAAATCATGGAAAAGCACATTTTCATTACTGAACTGTCAGATGTAAGGCAATTTAAAAGGAGATAAAATTTGAAAAGAAACACAAAGAGACCAGTTGAGCATTGGGAGATTAGAGTCATTATTGTTGCTTTAAAAACACAAATGAAGACCAGTAAACAGCCTCTGAGATCTGGCCACCAAGCTGCAGGATGTCAGGGGCAGAGAAGCAGGTAGATGTCCACAGAGATACGTCAGAAGCTGAGCAGGGGAATAATGCGGTCTTCAGTGCTGCTGAAGCATTTTTAACTCTTCCTTCAGAGTTTCAGAATTGCCTTAGAGCTCTATTGACAGTTTGTGATCTTTTACCTTGGACTTGATTTTTTTCAAACCTAAATGGCAAACAAGAGGTTTTGTTACTATTAGGTGCCATTGAGTCAGCTGTGCCTCTTAGTGACCATGTGTGCAGCAGCAGGAGACCTGCCCAGTCTTGTGCCGTCCTCATAATCCTTGCTGTAGCTGAGGCCATCATTGTAGGCACTTTGTCAGTGCATCCTGTTCAAGGTCCTCCCCTTTTTTAGCTGACCCTCCACTTTACCAGCATGATACCTTTTCCAGGAAATGGTCCCTTCTGACAACATGACCAAAGTAGGTGAGATGAAGAAGTCTGGCCATTCTCGCTGCCAAGGAGCATTCCGGCTGCACTTCTTCCAGGACATGTTTGTTCATTCGCCTGGCAGTCCAGGGTGCTTTCATTATTCTTCACCAACACCACAACTCAAAAGCGTCAACTCTTCTTTGGTCTTTCTTATTCATTATCCAGCATTCACATGCATATGAGGCGACTGAAAATACCATGGCTTGGGTTAGTCTTCAAAGAGACCCCTTTGCTCTTCAGCACTTGAAAGAGGTCTTTTGCAGCTGATTTGCCCAGTGCAATACATTGTCTGATTGCGTGACTGCTACTTCCATTGGTGTTGATTGTGGATTCTAGTAATCTGAAGTCTTTTCCCCATTTATTGTGATGCTGCTTATTGGTCCAGTTGTGAGGATTTTTGTTTTCTTTATGTTGAGGTGTAATCCATACTGCAGACTGTAGTGTTTAATCTTCATCAGTAAGTGCTTCAAGTCATCTTCGCTTTCAGCAAGCAAAGTTGTGTCATGTGCATATCACAGGTTGTTAATGAGTCTTCCTCCGATCCTGATGCTATGTTCTTCCAGCTTCTCAGATTTGCTCAGCATCCATCTGATTAAGTGTCAGGAAAGGAGACAGTCCTTGTGCGTTCCATTCCATGCAGCCTTCTCTTCTGTGTACACATTCCTCCTGAGAACAGTCAAGTGTTCTGGAATTCCCATTAATAACAGGTTAAGAAGACTTAAAAATGGAAACTGTGATATAATTATAAAATTAAAAAACTCATTTTCCTGGTGATGTTTGAAGTTATTATGAGGCAATTTCCAAAGGTAAACTTCCAATGTCTTTTGAGCAGCAATTTTTTTTCTTTTTATATTTGTTTACTTTTCTTTTTATTGTGATTTAGGTGAAAGTTTACATAGCATATCAGTTTTCCATTCAACGATTCATACACATTTTGGTTTGTGACATTGATTTTAATCTCTGCAATGTAATAGCACTCTTCATACTTCCTCCCTCTGTTTACCACTTCTGTTTGTTCTTTCCTTTCCCTTCCTGCCTTCTGAACTTTATCCCTGGGCAAATCCTGCCCTTTAGATCTCATATGGTGGATTGTTCTAGGATTGAGCACCTCCCTGGTGTTATTGTTCATCTTACAGACCTGTCTGTTGTTTGGCTGAAAGTTGAGCCACAGGGGTGAGTTCAGTTCTGGGCCTGAAGGGTACTGAAGAGCCATGATCTCAGGGGTTCCGTCCATCTCTATTAGACAGGAAGCCTGGTCTGTTTCTGATTTTGAGTTTTGTTCCATCCACTCTGCCCAGGACCTTCTATTGTGATCCCTTTCCAAGTGGTCAGCTCTGGTAGCCAAGCACCATCTAATCCTTCTGGTCTCAGGGTCATGGATGCTGGGGTTCACATGGTCCATTAGTCCTTTACATTAATTGTTTGCTTTTCGTCCTTGTTTTTCTTCACTTTTCTTTGCTCCAGAGATGGAGAGATCAATAGTTGTACCTTAGATGGCCACTCATAAGCTTTGAAGACCCCAGTTGCTACTCACTAAAGTAGGATGTAGGAGCTCTGGTAGCATAGTGGCTCAGGCATTTGACTGCCAACCAGTAGGCTGGAGATTCAAACCCATCAGCCACTCCTCGGAAGGAAGATTGGGCAATCTACTTCCGTAGTGATACTGCCTTGGAAACCCAAGGAGGGGGTTGCTATGAGTCA